TCTCTCTCTCTCTCTCTCTCTCTCTCTCTCTCTCTCTCTCTCTCTCTCTCTCTCTCTCTCTCTCTCTCTCTCTCTCTCTGTGTGTGTGTGTGTGTGTGTGTGTGTGTGTGTACAGGGCACCATACCATACCTGAATGCGCTGCCGCTGTTCCCAAAGGAGCTTGTGAAGCACGTGTTGCAAATCAAGAAGATCCGCAAGACGACCGTAATGGAGTGAGCAGCCTTCTTGCTGTTGTCGTTGTTGCTTGTGCTCTGCGTGTGCTTCTTTGCCCTTCACCTTTACCTCCTCCTCCTCTACCACCTCAACCACGTCCATCACCGCTCACTGCTCGCCCTCCCAAACGCCCCCGTGCACGCCACCGATGCAGCGCGTACATGCTGCACACGACGACGGACATGTGGGGCCGCTTCCTGCTTGGACGTCGCATTCCGCGCCCAAACTACGCAGGCATTGCTTGCATGGTGAGGTGACCACGTGTGCCCCCCCCCCTATGTGACGCGTGCCATCACGCATGCACCTCCACTCTCACTCACTCCCACCTCAACTGCTCACCTCAACTGCTCACCCACCGCGCGCGTGCAGATGATCCGCATGCTGCAGCTGCCGCAGCGGCTGTCCGTGGCCGCCACACATCTCATCCGCGAGGTTGGCGTCGGACCCTTGAGACCTGTCAAGCACCCGAGCGTTAAACGTAAGAATCCCCCCCCACACACACACACACACCGCACCTTACCGTCGTTGTTGTTTTGGATTTCGCTGTTTGCTCTGTGACACTGGCTCCTGATGACTTAACTCGCTCGCAAGCTCGCTCACTCGCAAACACACGCGCGCACACGGGTGTGCAATGCCAATACCTTTTTTTGGTTGAATAGAGACACGCGTCAAGTGGATGAAAGAATGGGGCGTGACGCCCTCCGGCAGCGTCGCCACATTCATTATCATGTTTGTCAAGTTTATCTACGGCTGCGACAACAACCGCGAGTACATGGGCACGGTGCGCTGGGAGAACCCGCGCGACATGTTCCGGACGAACGTCGAGGTGGAGAAGCTGCTGTGTGTGCCGTTCTTTGACGGGAGGTGGCGTGGCAAGCGCCTGAGCGAAGACGCGCACGCATCGAAGCGCAGGAGACACCTGGAGCGGTCGGGACTGGTGTACCTGTCGAAGTACCACGAGGTTGTCGCTGATGTGGACGTGTTTCGCGAAGACAATGTTTCCGGTGCTAGCAGCAGCAGCAGCAGCAAGAAGAAGGGATCGGCGAACAAGGCGCACAGTGGTGGTGGTGGGGGTGGTGGTGGCATTGATGATTCTGACGAGGATGCTGATACGGATCTTGAAGGCTTTGGTGCCGGCAATGAAAACGACGATGACGGTGATGATGGTGATGATCTTGATCTCAATGGTGATGGAGGCGGTGAGGCTGCCCAGCAAGGGTTAGTTGAAGACGACGCTGTGACGGGAGGTGCAAGTACAGGTGCAGCTCGTGCTGATGGTGATGGTGATGGTATTGCTGATGACGATGACGATGATGATGATGGTGACGATCAAGCAGCGGCTAACAGCGACGGGCGTCCAAAGCGACGCCAGATGGTGGTACTCAAGGCGAGCGACGTTGCGAAGAAAATCCACGACCCCTCGTTCCCTAATCCTGGCGGGTGGCTCTCGTGGATTGAGTGGACAGACCGGGTGTCTCGCGCGCTGTTTGGTGACCCGGAACTCCTCACAGCCCACAGCAGCCTCGGCGGTGCAACGTCCAAGATCCCAGAAGGTGCGGTGTGTGTGTGTGTGTGTGTGTGTGTGTGTGTGTGTGTGTGTGTGTGTGTGTGTGTGTGTGTGTGTGTGTGTGTGTGTGTTGTTTCGTTTTTCGTTTTTT